TTTAAACTGCTCTGCAATTTGGTACTTACAAGAGTTCTGTGTTTATTTGCTGGCACAGGCTGCTCTAAAGATATTCAGCCTTCTGCATTTTGGCTTCTGTTAAACTCATTACCTTGAAAAATAATTATGCAAATATTGCCCTGCATTAAATACAGGCAGGTTTTTATTTAGTTATGAACAGCTCTAAATTTCAATTTCAGGGCATGCAGCTGAAAAATGGCTGCACAGGGTGAGAGATGGTGCTGCCTCCCCACCCGTTGCTGCAACTGAGCAGCAAGCACTAGAGAAACAAATTGTTCCATTCTTTGCCTTGCCTGCTTGTTGAAAGGAGGAGTGCAGTAAATTGTGCAGTAGATATCCAGTCACCATGGGATTTGGCTGTGTTCACAATAGGCAGGCACTGAACTGTATGCAAAGAACTTAACACATCGGGTTTTTCTCCCGTGAAAATAAAGCAAAGTGAGCTGAGATGGAGATGTCTGAAAGGTGATTTGGTTGAAAAGCAACAGAGGCTTCCAACAGCCCCACAATAATTAATAAAAATCCTAAAGCTTGCAGGGTTGGACTGATTCTGATCTCGGTGATATTGATGAAATGTTGCCCTATTCCAGTGATCTGAGTCACTGTTTACATGAAATGAGAATTGGAGCTTTGCTTGGCTGTTGCACAGAACTGCTGGGTACAGAAGGCTGCTATTATCAATGGATAGCCAGGGGTGCAAAGGGATTTTATATAGCTGATCCAAATTGCAATCTTACCCATCTACAGAGAACTATACTGAAGGGAATATGAGATGGGTGAGCTTCTGGGGAACCATAGACCATCAGCAAAAACATGCCCTTGGAAAAGGTGTAAAATGGGGAAAGGGTTTATAAAGCCATGAGGATTGAGGGAATAATTGGGCTTTAGAGCTCAGACATTTAGGTTTTTGCAAAAATGTAGCAGAAGTTTTAGATTGTAGGTGTTTTTCATGTGTGATGGTCAGGCCTCTTAAATGTTTCAAAATAAGCTTCTCAAAATCAGACACTGCTATAATTGTTCAGTAGCTTTGAAAAGGCAAACATCTCTTACTTGTAATAGCCTTTACTCCTACTAGACACTTCATTGAAAGAAAACTATGCTGTCGAGGAAAGACTGCACAGAGATCCTGGCAAGAACATTAGTACATACATATTAACTGAAGCATTGCTAATAGCTCACTGGCTAGCACAAGACAGAGAACTAGGTACTCTTGGAGTTCAGGTTTTGACTTTGTTGCCTTTTTGTTTGGATTCTTCTTTATCACATTAGCCACCCATAAACTGGGTAGAATATTACTACCTTGCAGCAACTACGCAAAGCTAACCCAGAGCTTCTCAAATGAAAGGTGCAATGGAAAAATGATATATTAATAATTCATGTACCTAAGTTTTATTGTTTGCCTTAAGGAAGGTAGAAGGAGGTGCAGGATTTCATTGGCAGTATTCATAATATATGATTTTCCATAAATGGATTTGTTTTGTGCCAAAGGTAGGACACAAACATACAAATGCACAGAGGAGCTTAGAAGAGCCAGTAGTGGCCCCAGTTGTATTTCCATTTCCATGTAGATGCCCTATATTGATAGGACTGGGGCAAAGGGAGTTGTAAATGTGTTTGAATACATGTATGTGTATGTGTGTGTGTATGTGTACAAGCAAATATATATAGAGAGATGTGTATAAGTACATATGTTTGTGTGTGTGTGTAAAAATACAGACAGCCAGACATGCATACCTGGTTGGTATAGTGAAGTGAAAGAAAGGAACCATGCAAGATCATACCTGGACAGAGAAGGACCTTAGTTATTACTCTTGACTGCTATTTCAACACAGTAACTTGCTGTGGATCCTGTTCAGTGGATCAGGGCTGCTGGAAATTCAGAATTTGCTTGCAGCTACTTTTAACAAACTGATACTCTGCAACTCAATTGGTGACCTTCACAACAGTCAAGTAAAACCAGCTATTAAGTGCATAAGGAGATAACTGTCCTGCCTGTTGCCAGTGTCTTCCTATGTGTGTATGCACATTGTACTTTGCTGAGTGAGGCTGAGACCAAAAGTGTCTGTGTACAGAGTAAATTATTCTGCGCTTTAAAACTATGCCAAGTGTGATAGAGACTCCTGCAGCTCTTTGTGAACTGGTACTGAATGGTCTCATAGGGAAGAGTAATTGGAATGTTAACTTACAATGCAAATATGTCATTTATTTCCTTTGAGGCTGCAAAGGTCTCTCAAGTATAATGGGGTTCATACTATATTTTTATGCATGGCATAGATTTTCCTTAGGTCTTGGTGTTACATCTGGAAAAAGAAAAGCTGATGAAAAGGCAGAGGTTTATTATTATTGTTATTATTTGCCATAAAGCAATAATAGTCTGAAGATCTTTGGGTGCTAACTTCAGTGGCAGTGGCTTATTGCTTAAGAAAGGATACACATTTTCCAGTTCTTCAAGGAAAAGAAAATAAAGGTATCCCTGGCTTTGTTCTTTGTTTCTCTATATGGAGTATGCAGAGCAGCCTGAATGCCCTTCTGCTTCTTCTACCTGTTTTCAAGTTTTCCCAGGTTCATCTGAAGTGCTTATCTGCAAGTTGAAAACAAGAATGTATTGAAGTACAGAAGAGGTACATGTATTTATTATTTTGGGGATAGGATTTAATTAGTGTCTGTTTTCAAAAGAACTTACCTCTTAGAGATGTAAGCAGTCAAACTGTCTTATCTGTGTTAAGCTTTGGAAAGTCCAAGTACTTATTTTGGAGGCAAAATGGAAATAGAGCTCTTGAAAAAAGCTTGTATTGAAGGCAAGCAACTGTCTGGTGGCAAACTTTACAATGATTAGTATAATACATAGCCATTAGGTCCTGGCAGCTGGTCATTTAGAGAAAGAGTGACAGATATGACAACAGGATTTAGAAGGCCACATCGTATTAAAAGTCATTTTGTGTTTGGTTTCCAAGGTAATTTTGCAAAATCTCATTCCAGAGGTTTAATTGACAAGAGTGTGATGAAAAGTTAAAAAGCCACAAAACCGTCATTAGAATTGTTTCTGTGGTTGACAGCTTCAAGAGAGAAGCTAAGGAACACAAAGCCTACTGGCATTGGTGGCTGGTCACTGTGAGAAACTGCAGGCTGCTGCTGTCATTGATCAGGGGTGAAGGAACACCTCTTCCAAGAGTGGCAGTACTGACAGCAACTAGAGCAAGGGTTGGAGAATTCCAGAATTTTCCATTCCTGTTTTTCTGATGCATCCTTAGTGCTTCTCATTCCTGACTTTACCTACTCTGTTGAAAGTCTCCAGGGAGCACTGAATCCTTAGAGGATTCCTTGTCACTTGCCTCATGGTACAGTTTAGCATGGTCTACCAAAGGTTGACAAAGCAGCTTTCGGTTTCTGTCATTCATCCAGGATCTTCCACAACCTCAACACCCACTCAAACATATCCCTTTACCCAGGACAGTGCAGTGTGATTCCTTCAACTGACTATTAAATTAGGATCCAGTTGCCAAAATCATGAACATCATTTGCCAGTTTAGATGTTAAAGGTTAACCTGTCTTTTTCCTAGTTGCTGCCCTAGAAGTGCATCATCCAAAACTGGTGTCATCTGTCAGCCCATATGTTAGATACTTCCAGGTTCATCCTGAGGCATTAGGAGCCTGTATTGAGTCAACTCGATTGAACTCTTCTTGGTCAAAGAGATCATGCCATCTGTAGCAGCTTCTATGATCGTGTAACAAGGATATAGTGGTACTTCCATGGTGTTTCACACTCTAACAGATGGCTGAAATTGAGGAACCTGTGAGTCAGCTGTAAGCCAATAATCATCCTATTGGTCTAAGAAGAGAGAAGTTCCTTCACTCCTAAAAGAGGAGACTACAGTTTTCTGTTTTGCTTATGAGGGCTGCATAGAGACTTGTATTATCTGCTTGAAATGCTAAATAACACCCTATGGTTGAATAGCCTTTTTTGTGGGACGATACTTTGGGGCATCAGTGGCATGGCATCAGCTTTAGTTCAAAGAATGTAGTAGCTGCTGTCTAACAAAACTCTCGGTCACCTTCCTCCTCTTCGTGGTTTGGTGCCTGGGGTCCTGTGACTTTCACAGCTTTCACAGTTACATTCCCTCACAGGCTTAGTAACTGTTACACATGAAGAATGATATGGCTCTAAACCCCCTATTTAAAATCCAGTGCCATATTTTCTTTTTTAAAAAGTTCTTCCAAGCTTTCTCTGTAGTGTAACTGGTAGAATAATGTGATATGCAAAAGGAAGAGAGGTAGTTACTTTTAAAAGAGGATTTCTAAAAGCCCATCACACATGCTGTGCCATTTTAATTTGCTGTGAAACTCTTTACTTCTGTAAATTACAGCAGATGTTAAGTGAGCTTCTCTGGAATATTAATATCACTGTGCTGCATGCAGAAAGAACAGATTTCAGGAAAAATAAAAAATCACTGTATCATTCCAATGTGTTAGATAAAAAGAAACTGCTGTGCTCAGTAGTTTGTGGATAGGAAGTAGAACAGTTCAGGAAGGTGTTGTCATTAAAACTCCTAAAACCACAGTGAAAGAGACTCATGTCCAAAGGTGTCAAAGAATATTCTAAGTTTTCTGTTTATTTCCTGTCTTTTAATGATCACTGCTTTATTCTACCATGAAAGCATTTAGATCCGATACTTAATACTCTTCCTCTGTGTATTCAGAAATTAGTGCAAAGACTATCTCAGTCCTGAAGCAATATGACTTAAGGTGACTTGTCTGATGCACTCATAGCACAGTATCCCTGCTAGAAAAAATGAGGAACATTCTACATAGGTCAAGCACCTGCAAACTGAGCTAGAAAGAACAATGTATGGACAAATCCAGTGTAACTAGTAGTTACAATATTCCATTGAAGCCTTACTCGTAAATACATGGGGTAAAAACAGTTGTGAAGGCAAGAAATTTAAGGCAGCTCTCTGAAGTATAGGAAGAATCTACAATACCTTACAGATCTCACTCCAGTCTCCTTGGCCTCCTTTGTTGACAGCACGGACTTTAAACAGGTATTCTGTATTTGGATCCAAATTATATATCTCCAGGTTCTGCTGCTGTATTTTGCTTAGCTGGCCAGCTAGTTGTGTCTGGACAATGTTATCAGGACTAGTTCTAGTAACTTCATAAAACTCTACCTCAAAGAAATCCACCTCTTCTATGGGACAAGTCCAGTAAATCTGTGAAGAGAAAAAATAAAATTGTAGTACACGATTAAGTCCTCTTTATTTTTGCTTATTTTAATTTTTGCTTTTTTTGGAAGCCCCTGTGCAGCAGATTTTATTTTTGAAATGCCAGTGCAGCTGAGATTTCAACTACAGCATGAAATATATGTGGAAGACATGTAGTTTGTCCTCTTACTTGGAAAATGCTAAGCTTCCTTCTGGGAATTTCCTAGTACCCTTTTCTGACACACTAAAAATAATGCAGGCTGACAGCAGTCAACACTTTACAACATGCGCTTAGGACCCTATGCAACTGGCATCCTGGCATCTATGCAACTAGCATCTAAGAAATGTAAAATGAGGAAAATTACATGGATATGATGTTATCATATGGAAGGCCAAGACCAGGAGGGAATTATTTGGTCTGACATACAGATATTTAAATACAAATATGGTAAATCTATTTCTTTCTGCACTGGAGCTTCCCATCTAACATATTTATATCACATAAACAACCCTATTGACTACAGTAGGAATGTGATACAATTCCATCTACACTTCAGTTTATCTCAAAAGGCAAGTTTGAAATGCATTGTCTTCTACAAATGCAATATTTGAACTGATAGTTTAGTCTTGATTTCTCAAACTTGTATGGGTTCAAACTCTATAACAGCCTAAAAATGTGAGTCTCTTACATATATTTTGAATTTATTAGTGGCTTACTTTGGCAGACCTCGAGTAAACAACAGTCTGGTATATGAGCACAGATCCTGGGACTGGGACTGAGTCACTGTCTATAGGTTCTGGACTTGAATATTTAACAATCCGATATTTTCTTTCTTTTCTTGGAGTTCCAGAAGCTGTATCCTTGCACACACACACTTCCTTACTCTTTGTAGGAAGATCGGAAGGATTAGAGTTTGGTCTTCTGAGAGTGTCTTTTGACAGTACACGTAAATCAAGCACGGAATTTGAAGATGGGCTTTGGAAAAATATTCCTTGCTTGGATACTTGAGTACCTGAGGCACCCCCTTGAACCGTTATCTCGGGGTTAAAAGAATAGGGATATTTTTCTGCTTCACTTTCTGACTCCATTATGCCAATAAGGGATGGAACAAGTCCCTGTAAAATGAAGAGAATTTCATCAAAGTTGAGGTGAATTTTGCTTAAGGGATCTTCTCTTAGACGTGGACTAGGTTGGAAAATGGAAGGAACTGTATTTTCTATTTCTTTCACTAAGCAGTGTGCAGATTGCAGAAATACAACTTGACTTTCCTCCTCAAGAGCCTCTTTACAGTATTGAATAAGGCCATCCATATATGACAGCTGGCTGGATGTATAGTTTATGTAGTCTGAAATTTCTTTGTATTTTTTAAGTTCAATGTTTTCAAGCAACTCCATCATCTCCTTTTCTTGTTGATGAAGAACCATATTTAGTTTTAAGAATCCATTTCTGATCTCCTTTCTTTTGGTGTCCTTGTAGCTCTTGAACTTATTTTTTGACAGGATAACTTCCATTAGATCATTGTCAATTCCTTGGCGTACTGTAAGAAAAGAATAAAATCAGGTCAGTAGTTCCAAATTCATATTAAAATGCAGTGGTTACAAGAGGCAGAATGATAGATTTTAGCTTAAAATCTTGTAGAATGTTTAGTAGAACATGGGACAGGAATAAGGATCCTGGTATTTTGCTCTTCTCTCTGCTGCTAGTAAGCCTTGTGGGAAATTGTTAGGGTTAAAACATTGACATTGGGTATATAAAATTTGGCATTTACTTACTACTTTATTATTATCTCCTCATTCAAATTTATCTCCCCCCAAATGGGCTTGATAATTTGTATTTCATTACATGGGGAATCCTGAAGCTTAATTTATTGTAGCTTTATATTATCTTTGAAAATTCACTATGCCAGTATGAAATTAAAATCATGACAGCAAGTGTGCCCACATTATGTCTGTGGCTGATGGTATATTCCTCTGATGGCTGTTCTGTGAAGGTGTGATTAATTCTTCTGACACTAAAAATTGTCAGCTGTTAAAAGAACAGAATCAAACATACCAAAGGCTGACTGTACATTCCAGTGCCATTCAGCTAACATTAGGAAGCAATGTCACATTACAAAATCCTGCACACATATTCTACATCCCTCTTCTCAAATTTAAGACAGTTTCAAATTGGAGAATTTAATGCTTCCAGCTTTTTCTTACTGTGCAGGTTCACTTTTACCTTTCTGAATGTTATTTTCCATGCAACTTCGTTCTGCCCCCAACATCTGTGAACTTACATGCAAAGATCCAAATTAAAAGAAATCTGTACAATCCTAGTGTTCAGCCCCTTAGTTGCTATGGATGCAGTCTTAGTTAAAAGGAGTGAATTGCTGTGATAGCTCAGAAAAACATGACTGCTTTGCCTCTTAGTCATCATGGGCATAAGCATAAAACTGACTGAGGAGGGAGAATTCTTCTTCAAGCATGTATTTCTGATTAAAAAATATTCATCATTTATCCTGCAGATGTAATTGGTTTTTATTCCATGCTGGGTCCTGCAGTATGAAATTAATGTTCCCCTCAGTTGTGTAGAATCACAGAATGGTTTGTGTTGAAAAGGACTTCAAGATCATCTAGTTCCAACCCCCTGCCATGGGCAGGGCCACCTCACTCTAGCCCATGTCACCCAAGGCTCTGTCCAGCCTGGCCTTGAACACTGCCAGGGGTGGAGGATTTAACACTTCTTTGGGCAACCTGTTCCAGTGAAATGCACATTTCTGTTCCCATCCCACAGACAGATCCTTCATTCTCTAATAGTTGAGTCTGGCTCCTGGTGCCACAGTTACGGGCTTGTTCCTTTGGTGTTTGTGCAGTGGGAACACATCACCTTTCTGACCCTTGTGCTGTGCAGAGAATTAATATAGCTTGTCAAGCTTATGTTCAAGTTTTTTTTCTGAGGAGGCATGGGGAAGTGTGAAAAGCACCAGAAATACACACCTTTTCTAAATTCTTCGATTGTACCGAAGAGGGAAGCAGCCTCTCTTGAACACGCGACTCCCAAGGGAATAATGTTATGATTGTTGTGCAGTGAGCTCTTGCAGATCCCACAGATCAGTTCGTGGTCATCCAGACAGTATTCAGAGAGATCTGAGTTGTTGTGCAGTAAGCAGTGCCACTGTTCATTGTCTTCATGATGTGCTCTCGTTAAAATGTGGTCTTGAACACTGTACTTGTTATGACTTAAATACAGACATTCACTACAATAATTGATTCCACACGTTCTACATCTTTTGGTTGCCACTCTTCTTCTCTCCCTGCAACTTTCACAGTAGACTGGTCTTTCGCTGTGGTCAAATCTCCACCTCAGAAAGCCATGTCTGCGCATGTATTTCTTGGCTAGTTTTGCTCGGAGATAATTCTTCCTCAGCTGGATTTTATTTGTGTAGTCAAGACAGTGTGCTTTGCTACACACTGGGCATAAGATGATATAAAAGTTTTCAGTTACTTCAACTCTGGTCTTGCTTTTATTTACACACTTCTCACAAATGCAGTGGTTGCACGGCAGCATAAGTGGTTGGAGAAACAGTTCCTTACAGATTGGACAGGAAAGCTGGTCACGGAAAGCGTGGCTGGAGACATTCCTTTCTGTTGTAATGACAGATGCATTATTCCTAGTTCTGAACCTAGGCATGACTTCTTTTGACCTAAATAAAATTGGGAAAAAAGAAACAACAAACAACTCTAACAACTCAGACAAAAATTTCTGAGTATTAGGGTATAGACACAAAATTATACCATGAACAATTCTGCTTTGCATATCAACTGTCCTTTTATTCTGAATGGCTACTTCGTATATGTAAGGAAGAATCCTTCTTTTTTTCTTTTCCTTTTTACAATTATTTCACTATATGCTGAACATGTAACAGACAGACATCTCAGTCATTGGAAGTCTGTGTGAATTTGTTGAGTTATTGCTGGTGGCCAAATGAAAAGAAGAATACAGTTTGGTTTAGTACAGAGTGAAATGTATTTTGTCTTCTTTTCTTGATTAGTTTTCAAAATGGAAACAACGAACAACTACAGTGAAGCATTTAGTGAAATTCAAATTAAACCCTTTATTTTGTTTCAGAGGGTATTAAATCATTTACAACTTTGGTAATATGCTTAGAATACCTTCTTTTTAATGAAAAATTAAGGCAATAAATGTCAAAATGTTTTTCTTTCACATTTTCAAGATGGAATATTTCCTCAAGAAATTATCACAATTGCTTCACCATTTCCAAAGAAGTACAATTCTGCTTAATATAATAACACACATTTACATATGATCATCCTAATTTTTAGTCATTTAAGAAATCACTCACCTCTGAATTATTTCTGATTTCTAGAACGAACTAAACTTACTTTTAGTGTCAGTAGCATCCTTATTATCACTGATTATTTATATTAATTGCAAAGACCTTTGGGTGGGGATTTTATTATTTTATTTTAGATATGCTTTTTCAGGATATGCTAATCCCTGTTCTTTTCAAATCTTGTTAGTCCTAACCTGTCTCTTAGCCTGTGGACATTATCCTTTTAAAATAACAAGACTAATTTTATAAGGCCGCCTTGAATATTTTCCATGTCCTTGACAAGAGCATCATTATTCAAGATGGACATCTTATTCTTAGGCCTCCTCTGCTGTGCTTCTCTTTAGCATCCATGTTACTGCTTTTCTTCCTGTCTTCTCTCCTCAAATGTTCAACAATACTATCTGATTTTTCTGTCACTCTAAACAACAGTAAAAAACCCTAATAAACTAAAGAGAATAGAATTTTCTGTTGCTCTGAAGATTCCTTCTGGTCTTAGAAGTTTACCTAGGTAGGAGTTAACCTTGCATTTCTAGTGGTCTTGTCAATTCTTCTCAGTTTAGCCTGGAGCTCTTCTGATAACTGCATTTTTATCTTCTACGACTGTTAATATACCTTCCTTCTATTCTCTGTGTACCATTTCTTGAGCCTTTATAATTATTTGTCTCCTTGTTGTGATTATACCCGCTTCCTTCCACTTCCAGTGAACAGCAGTTTTACTGCTCTTTTACTCCAAATTTCCTTGTATCCTTGCTTGCAGCCCCCTTGCTACAAACACATCCCTATTTTCCTCCTTGTTTTAAGTTTTTTCTGTGCATCTTCCTTCTTGTCGCTGTATAGGATTTACACTGTGAGAATCCATAAGCGTTAGCCATTCATGGATTTTGTATGGAAATCAGGTGGTCCTAATTACCAATGCAGTGAAGTTCCAGAATAGTCTTTGACCCAGAGTAATGAGCATAAGATTTAACTACCATCAAGATAAAACTACTTTCTCTGTTTCTCAGAAGAATATCCTGTGATTATTCTAAATAGCTCCAAGAAGTCAACAGATCTGTGTTTCTAAATGGCACGCATCCATTAAGACGTACTGTAAATTAGAACACATTAGAAATTAAAGAGTCTTTAACTACACTTACTGAACAAGTCCTGGTGTTCTTGAGTGACGCTGTTTGTTGTCAGACCTTCTACAGCACCTGCTTTCATAATACTGACATTCTGTATTCTCTGCACTGCAGCAGCAGCAGCATTTGCAGTCTGGGTCATTTGCACAAGAGCAGCAACACCACCAACAATTTGCACGCTCTGCACTTGAGCAGTGGCAGCACTGGCAAGTTTTGCCATTGTATGGACATGGGAAACAGCTGCAGTTCTGCTCACTGGTAAACAAGAAACGCCAACACAAGCAGCAACGTTCATTGCTGCTGTGGCAGATTTGGTAGTACCAGTTTAAACAGCATGGCCAGATTGAACAGGAATACCCATTTTCATCCATCCCACTGTCAGATACTTGGAAGGAAGTCCATTGATCATGTCAGCTGTTCTTCACACTACAGCATGAGCTCTGACTGTTGTGTCAAGCTCTGTGGCACGGCAGTGAGCTTCGTTCTAATCGGGGAGTGATGTCACAGTGAAATATTCCAGTAAGGAGACAGGCAGAATTTTATTCACGGGAACCTGGTACAGTGATTACATCATCTGTACATCAGGATAACTATAATTGTTCTTCCTGAACTCCTAGAAAGCATTTACATAATTCTTCATTAAGAAGGCAATTCTCTTGTTAGGACCACACACTTCATAGGCATTTTCTTGGCTCAGCTGGCTGCTGTAAGCAAATCAGCTGAACTGGGTCCTAACCTGAGACAGTGAGAGGTTTCTCATCAGGCCTCTGTAAGACTTTAAGCATAACTAGCACATGTGAAAGGACCTTACACTTGAGATGCATCTTGGAGCATATCTTTGTAACTGCCTTAGTTATTTTAAGCCCTTGTCTGCCAGTGTTTACACTCTTATGGTATTTGTTCCCCCAAGGCCTGAGGAAAAGAACTAGGTTTGGATTGTAGGTTCAGCACTTTTGTGCATTTGATGTGGACCTGCCTCTTTTCCCACTGACTTCACGTGTGTTTCTTCCCCTTCCTTAAGCTGGCCACTCAATGCAATATCAGACATATAATTTCAGTTATTCTTCAGCTATTTTGTATGAGGCACCTTTTTCTTTCATTTAGTTGATTTATTCCAAGATTTATATAGCATTTTTGTCTATAGATATGGTAATTTTAAATAAAAATTAAAATAATGTAAAGAATACATGAGTTTCACAATATCGCATGCTTACTGTAGCGCTTATATGTAAGTGCTTCGACTTCAAGGTCTTAAAGGTCTTTTCTAACCTAAATAATCCTATGATTCTATGATGCTACGAAAGAGCATCTCTAAGAGTTATCTGCAACTAACATCTCAACTTGTTCTCTTACATGAAACTGTTAAGGACAGTGATATCTATATAGTACATATTCAAGAATACTGACTTCTAATGCTGGCTTCTCTACTGTAACTAAGTTTTTCCAAAATTTAGCAATTTAACTTGTGTTAATGTGTAATGGGAAATTACTAAGATAGGTCTTGACAGAGTTTATTGTAACAGCTCCTTGGAGCCTATTCGCTCAAAGTCTGTTCTACCTAGAGAAATTTTAATTCACTAATCAAGAGCCGTACAGACTGTAATGGCTGTGTCATTATGTGTAACCATTTACATGATGGGCCATAATAGGTTCTTTGGAATGGTTATAGCCTATTGTGTCAATTGGATTTTCATGCATAAGTACTAGATCTGTGAACTGAACGGCTTTCCATAGCATAACCTGGACCTTTAATGGATGTTATTTATTCCATGTGTCTTTCCAGTTTAATCAATGGTAATGCTTTTTTTATTGTGCATATTTCATTTTGGGAATATTGAAAGGCTTTTGAATTTGATCATTAGAAAAAATGTATCCTGTGATGCTTGTCTGCTTTTCTTTTGCAAAACATGAATACACGTGGGGTATTTTGAGGAAGAAAAGGTGAGGGAGTGAGGAAAGAAACAAAAATCATGTCGTATGTCCCACGTGCTGACATCTGGACAGGCTTTTCCATTTTGACATAATACAGAGGTGTGCACGTGCCATTCGCAGCAACACATTTATTTTTCTTGATTCTCTGGGAGTTGTGTTTTTCCACTGGCTCTTTGACAACTTTGTCTTCTGCCCCATATAATTTCCATAACTTATTTTCTGCTATCTTTAGTGCTCTGATTTTTTTCTTTATCAAAACTGCTTTCATCAACAGCCTCATTCCTGTGCTACTCCCAGTGTAAGTGGCCTTCTCTGTAATTCCTTGTAGGCATGCAGCCAGTTCTGAGATGGTCCCATTTTATTAATATGTTCATTCTCTAGCAGATACTGAAAGATCACATCAGACTGGCTGCTAGAGAAACTCAATTACATGCAATAGCTGCACTGACAGACTTTTAATAGTATTTGCAAACACGTTCCCCCATGTCTATGTTGTGGATTGATGTGGTTGTTGTGTTCACGTAGTTCTCGTGATGGCCAGGCTGTGATGTGCTATACTTCACCTACAAATAAGCTTGACCCTGCAAGGTCAACCAAAACCCAGCTGTGTGAGAGACAGCTACTTCCCTCAGCTATCAAAGAATTCAGCATAATATTTTCTACTTGGCAATTCGTCTTATTCTGTTTTGCAAGATAAGCGGATTGTTGTCTTTCTTTTCTTCCCTCTTTTACTCTACCTCCACATACCTCACTGATATTTCTAATACTGATATTTCTAACACAAATTGAGATTGCATAGTGTCCAGAAAGAAGCTTGAAGACCATATACTATTAGAGGCTTAACCTTTGACTAATGTGTGTAGTAACGCTACATAAATCATGGACTGTTATTTATAAAAGTACTTTTTCTTTCTATATTTAATAGAGGTCACAAGGACATGCTCAAATTAGAGAGATAGAAACTAATGAAAATAATTCATGATTTTTCTCTGCATTCTGTACTCCTAATACATCCAAGTAATACCTGACTCCATTGTTCTTTTCTATGTCGGCTAATTGTATCAAAGATTTCTTTCAGTGTGTCAGTTCTGTCAGTTTCTATGTAGAAAACTAGCAGAAAACCTTCCACTTTCAAGTGCTCCTAGAGGTGTAAGATACGCTTTTGAGTCAGAGAGAAGGAAGAGGAACTGTTATCACCCTTAGGATGGGGAAGGAATGACCCTTCCTATAAAACCAGGTAGTCCAACAGGATTCACTCTCTAAAGGGCATGGTAATTCTTTCAATAAATTGCAGTGATTGAAGAGATTAACTGACTGCAGCATATAGAAGAGTCTGGTTTGGGGGAAGGTTTAGGATGAAACAGAAGCCTGACATGGTACGACCCAAAACTGATGCATTCACAATTGAGAGTTGCTTCTAAAAGCATTATTTCTGCCTAGGCAGAATGGAGCTTTGCTATCAATATTAGCAGCTGGTAAAGCAAAAGAGCAACAAATACATGGCAAACTTGAGTCTTCTTCATTGCTCTAAAGCTGTATAAAAAGTATATCACACTGAGCTCTATATGCCTTTATCCACAGATAAAGAAATGGATGAAAATTACAACTGTTACTATTGACTGGGAATGAGAAATACTGTGTTTGGGAAGTATATGATTTGAGCCAGAGGGAAAACTAGTAGGAGACCATGCCAAAGGAATGAACTCACTAATGAAATTTTGTCTAATTCTTCATGAAAAAACTTAACAGATATCACATAGTAACACAATTAGCACCAGAAATATATAGCTAAGAACTGCCAATAATAATAACAATGATAATAAAACAATACCGTATCACACGAAATAAATGTAATATTTTCAAAGTATCTGGGCCTAATAAAATTCACCCAAGGAATACAGAGGAATATCTGAAAGATTAACAGTGGTTTTAGGAGTTCCTTTCTGAGAACACATGAAAGATGCTGGAAAAGGTACTGGACTAGATGGAATTTAAGAATTTAGAAGCAAATCTAAGAAATCTCATTTTGAATGAGAACCATTTCCCACAGAATATGGGTTTATGAGTACTTGCATGCCAGAGTAATCACAGCATTTTGTCCTCTTCACACAGATCTCAAAGGTATTAAGTGAATTGCTATAAAATGCTTTAGAGAATCTATTTGTCATAGATATTAAGAAACTGTAACAATACACTGTTACTATGGGTCTCCATCCCTGGTATGATTCCTGCTATGTGAAACCTCGTTTCTTGTGTATTACTGTCACAATGTGAAACCTGTTGTTCTTTAGAACAAGTAAAAGCTGGGGCATTGTACAGAATGGTTAGAAATACTGAGTATATATTATCTGTCTCTGCCTGATGCCACTCCGGCCCTTGTGTGCTTTGTCCTCCTCTGGGTGGCCACATGCATTTCCTCCCCGGATGTGTTTTTGTTGCTGCTGTGGCTCACTCAGTTCCCCTCACACCCCCTATCTGGGTGCTTCTTCCTTGGGCTCTGGCTTTTGGATCTTGCTTCTTCCCAGAGTAAGGCGATGGTCATCTCCTTAAGGTGAGGTGTGCCTGTGCAGCTATTAAGACTGCAGAGAAGAAACTCGCATGTTTTAGTTTGAGCACCTCAGCTAAAGTGGTGTGGGAGTAAATGTAGCAGCTGCAAACCAACACATTTAAAATCTGAGGCCATGCTACGTTAAAAGGTGCTGGAGTGAATGTTAGACAGCTGCCTGTGCTTACATACCAGCCCAACTTAACTCTGAGTTTGGTTTTCAATAAAATCATCTTTTTCTGCTACAAAATTGGAAATGAATAGTACCAAGCTTGTCAATGCCAGTCTTTGTCCTGGTGTGTAGCAATTCTGGTCTCTTAGGTGAGTTGGTGATTAGGCACTTGCCCTCCTTGGGCTGCTCTGTTGGTGTATCTGCTTTCCTGACCATAGGACCTCGCTTTAGCCTCCTTTTTAGTCTATTTTTCATTCTTGTGTTGGTTCTCTGCTGGACATCCTGACTTCCCTCCTGATTAGCCTGGCTCTAAACAGTAACTAGTGTATGAGGAGGTCCAGCTGAGCAGTGAAATATGTGTTAATAACTTGGCTCTGCTTAAAAGGGAAAAATGAAGAAAAAATAAAATCACTCTCTCACACTGCCTGGGGGAAGAGGGGAAAATACAAATGAAGGGGGTGGAGGTGAGAGGAAAGGCTTTACGGATTTAGGCAGTGGATAGCATAGGGAATTAAAGCTGTGGTGAGCAGAAGTTCCCTGCAGTCAGCGAAGAAGTGAAGCTTCCTCCTTCACCCCAGAAGTTTTTCCTTCTCACCAGCTGAGAAGGTTTGTAATATATGCAAAAGAAAAATAAAATAAGTCCTTTTAAGAAGAACTTGTGAAGAGGAAAAAAGGGCTCCTGGCAAGGGAAACAACAAGTATAAACACTTCATTTTTAATTG